TGGGTTTTTGCTTTGACAGGTGTGGAGTTAGGACAGAATATGGTCACCATATGGTCCGTGGCAAAGGTGCCAAGGTTTGTGGAGTTACAGACGAAACTTGGACCCATCTCTGACCTTTTTTTCTAACTCCTGAAGTCCACAGGCATCTGTGATTTTCCACAAATGGAACAAGAACCTTCCCTAGAGTGGACCATGGGGACACCATGAAAGGACCAGCCAGGAGAAGGTGGAGACGTTAGCACGGGCTCAAGTAGAAAAACACTCGGCCTTGTCAAACAGCCATGAGTGGCAGTGAGTGGACAGTGATGTCCTTTGGAACTAAAGAGAAAATGGACATCGATAGTTTCAAGCCCCCATTTGGTCCCTGTGAATTCAGATGATGCATTTCAATCTCCAGGAGTCAAGAGGATAAAGAGATAAGGCAAAACTTTTGAAATGCTAGAATGCAGAAAATTCCTGCAGTTTCACGGTGCTGAAGAGAAAGAACCCGTAACACACTTGGATGGCCTGAAATGCTAGATAGCAAGAAATACCCTTAAAATGAAAACACATGGCTGGATATATATCTAAAGGAAGTCAAATCAGTGTGTCCTAACGAAGTCAGGCCCTCATGTTCCCTGCAGCATTATTCACGATGGACAAGGTGTGGAAACCACCTCGATGGCCAATAACTGGGTGAGGGATGAGGAAGGATATTTTACATACACAGGGTCGTATTCTTCAGCCTCAATAAAAGGAAACTCCACCACATGGAAACACAGATCAATCTGGGGGACCTGAGGATGAGCGAAATAAACCAGGCCCAGAAGGACAATATAGCAGGACCCCAATTACACGAAGCATCTCACAAAGTCGAGTCCACAGAAAGAGAGGGGAGATTGGGGTGTCCAGGGGCAGGGTGGGGATGGAGAGCTGCTGCTTGAGGGCACAAGGTTTCAGTCGGGAAGGACGGACACTTTCTACAGAAGAGCTGCCCGACACCGCGTTATAGTTCACATTCTGCCCTTAAATGTGTAGTGAGGAGGGTAGAACTCAGATTAAGTGTTCTTACCAAATTGAAAAAAAAAACACACACACATACTACATAAAATAAAACCTAAGAAACACTGATAAAAAATATACCATGAAAGCATCAGGAGAAAGGTCTAATGGCTATATTGTTATTAAACCAAAATATTTTAGGAAAATGTATTTTGCAGGAAAAATTGACCTTGTATATGCAGGACTTGTGACATCAGGTACTGAACAAGAGCACAGCAAACCCTAAACTGTGACGAGTGATGGTGACTCTGTGAGGCATAAATCTGAGGAAGCAGAGAGAGAATGACAGACCCACAATAGTTACGAGTATTAACACAGCGATGTCATTATCTGAATGGATAATGGAAGTTACAACTGTATTACAGCACA